CCAAACCCCCCCCCCCCCCCCCCAAAAAAAAAAACCCCGGGGCCCCCAAAATGACCCCCCCCCCCCCCCCCCCCCACCTCTCACTGGGCCCCTAGAGGCGTGATATTTGTTTCGCGATCCTGCTCCGCACCTTGTCGTCATGGACTTGTAGTTGTAAACGGTGAGGGGTAACGGCTTGTCCACGGAGGCCTTGATCATCTCGATGAACGTGTTGTCGAGAACTTCCAGCAGGACCCCTGGTCGTTGATTCGATGCATCCCATTGGCCAAGCAAGGACCATTCGATCGATCCCATTGGCCAAGCAAGGTGAACGAGTGAACGATGGATTCAGATTCGCATGCACTGCAGATAGATTATTGCATTGCTACGGTAGTACTAGTAGTATTTGTTAATGCGACCTGGCACCAGAGCCCTTGAGTTGAGAAAGAGAGCAAGGTGCTCCAGTCAGTGCATGCGAGCAGCGACGGTACAACCAACAGGACGGCCGGGAAACAAGATCACTCTTGATGGGCTTCCTCGGTGTATTGTCGAATCATGCCAACACGGATGCACACTCAGGGGGCGAGGTATATCCACAAAAACAAAAAGAAAGTTGCCGTGGGCCCGTCACCCTTTCCTGCAGACGCGAATGCATAGCTTCCAAGTTGCGCAAACAACGGCCAGCCTTGCTGCGGACCGTGTGTCAGTCCGTGAAAAGGGCAAACCTATCAACTGCTTGATGCAAATATCAATCTCCAACCCACAGCATTCGGCGGAGTTCTAAAAAGTATTGCTTCTGTGAGGAGTGAGGCGTATCGAGCCGGCCCTCTCAGCAAATGTGCGGCTCTTCGTAAGTCTCCTTGCGTGGAAGTGTTCTCGCAAGGCCTCCGGAAATCGGATATTGCAAAGATGCCGGTTCATGTCGCAAACGAAAAAAACTTCCTCCATCGTCGCCCGTGAGGACTAGGGGAAGGGAGTGTGCTTGCTTGGTTGGGTGTTTCGCCGGGACTGCTGCCCCGTTCCATTGCGTTGTGGTACACACGTGATTTTGTTCCGCGGTTCCGCGGAACAGCAGTCGCGTCCCGTACCAATTGTTCAAGGAAACGATGTGTCCCGCGGCACAAATGTAGTTTTGTGCCCGGTAGATAATCGAGCTTTGAAATCTGACCAAAAAAGGGCGTGTGGAATCGTGTACACGAAGAGATGCGTTCTGAGGGAAAACTCCAGTCTCGTGCCCGGTGGATAAATCGAGGTGGAATCGTACACAACCGACGGTAAAAAAAAGAAAATCGATCGGGATAGTAAAATATAGCAATACCAGCAACCTCATAACTCATAACGACTCGGAATATGTAATGCGGGCCCCCTTAGGGCGGATGTGTGCAGGCCGGTTTCACCCTCCCCCTAGAGTGGGTGTCTGTCGCGCGATGTCAGGCCAGCGGCGTCTTGCTTTCCTCGCGAGATTGAGCACGGACTGAACGGCACCCGTAGAAGCAAAACTTAGCTGTGTTTGTGTGGATGTATCCTGTTGTAGTCGAGGGGTCAGGGGGGCTTGTTGTGGCGGGGTGCGATGCTGCGGAACAACTGCTGCGGCGGGATATTCTACAAAGAAGAGAGGGAGATACTGGAGCCATGTGCGTAAATATTTTTTCAAGCCAACAAGGGTAGCCAGGGAGAAAACGGGCGACAACAATAATAATAATGATGCGCACGAAGCGTTGTCAGCTAAATCTCCCGCGCATGCGTATGCATATCTATGCGCAAAGCACTGTGTATGTGATTCTGCGCATCTCCACTTTTCCCGAAAGCATTTTACAAGTACGCTGTGGCGGCGTAACTAGTCATTTTCTTCGCTTCGTTTTGAGCCTATTTAGCGTTTTGCGTGAAGTTGGAGAGGATGGCGGGGCGAACGGGCATTTCCGTGCGGACACCAACGCGTGGGTATCCCACCTACAATTAATTTACCCAGCAGCCGTGTTCGAGACAGCGGAATCATAATCATTCTCTCAACGACGGAGCGGTGGGGTTTCGGATACCCTCCGGCAGACTGCAGTACAGTGTAATCTGTAAATGTTGTTGCGCTTACATGGACTTGCTGCCTGCGTGTATGTATGCTCTTCGTTGAAACCTCCTGTAAGTTTCGTCTCAGAATCACCGAAAAAGAAAGGACGGCAAGCATGCGGCAGTGGCCCTGACTGCAACTCATCCACACGACACAACCAGGGGGTGATGCGATGACAAGCTCCGGATGGTGAGTGGGTGGAAGGAACGGAGGTGGGATGTACGCGTACTGGAACGTGGATGCGTTCCCTCTTGTTTGTTCCAAAACATCCGCCGTGTCACTGCTGCTGCTGCACTGACTCGCCCACTCACCGTCTGCCGCTACGATGAAGTCGAAGAAGCTGACGAGTCCAACCTTAGAGGCTGGAGAGTTCGGCTGCACCCCTAGTACTCGATACCCACACTTCCCGAGCTGGGCTGCTCCCTGGGAGTTCCCCATGCTGCAATGCTGCTCTCTCTGCCCTCCCCGTGATCGCGGGACGCCGCCTTGGGCGATGGTGGCGCAGCAACAGCAGTGCGAGCGCCACAAGAGCGCACTCGCCTGTAGGCAAAGTTTTCTCCCTCTTGCAACGGTCGTGCTCCCCCCACCGCAGTCCCTCTCTGCTTCTCAGCCGCGGTGGCAGTGAGTGTGCTGCCTAGTCTCGGTGCTGCAGATGTGCCGCTCACAGCTTCGTTACAAGGGGCCCCACAGCTACTACAGAAAGGAGAAAACACAGTACGTACTATAGATTCTATACGAAACCCCCATGTGTAACGGTTTCCAGCATTTTTTCAAAATCTCGACCAAACGTCGCCGACAAAAAGATCTTTGGAGGTTACTGTAGCACAACAACAACAGCCATTCTTACAAGGAAGATCCAACGTGCTGCCGGTTTATTTCCTGGCCAAGCTCTCGTTGCTAAGATTTGTTAGTTCAGAATAGAGATCTGCCCGAGTAGGAAAAGTGCATTGGGAGGGAGCTTGGAAACGAAGAAAGGGCTGGGGCGCCCGCCGACGGACAGCAGCAAAAGTGTCTTGTTCTAGGATACAGAGATGTTCATCTACCTGAGCAAAAAGATAGCCATTCCGAATGGGACGAAACTCGACAGCTTGGCATGGAACCCTGCCCAAGGATGGATCGCGTGCGGTGGATCTAATGGCCTCACAAAGGTATCAATGACTGCGGGATGACAACGATCGATCGTCGCTTGCCACACAAGATACGCAGTACACAGCAGTGCGTGTGGGAGGTCAACGTGACAATGTGTCCTGTGTTGCTTCTCATGTAACACGCTTTCGTTGACATCACGCCAGAAACGCCCTTGATTCAGGCCGTCGTAGCTACGCATGCGGCTGTAGCCGAACGCATTCCTTCCACTTTTGGATCTACCAAGCTCGTGGGTAGGCTGTAAGTGCGATGCAGCTCAGGTCCTTCAAACCGCATAATCTGCCACACTACTTGTAGCGCTAACATAAACAGAACATCTGGGCACTCTTCTCTTTTGCTGGCATACCTACATTGTCACTCTCCACACATTGGTGTCATCACCGCACGTGTACTGTATTCCTCGCCATTACATTTTGAGAACGTTGTCAAGCCTAGACTATATTTTCACATATGACGGAAGGAATCCACCCATGACAGTCCCCGTTGGGATGTGTTAGAAGCTGTTGGTGCCTGCCTGGTTCATAGGTTGTCTGTTTACTGCATGGCCGCACCACGTGGCACATGCCACATAGACATCGCTGCCGTTGTGAGCCTGTTGATAACTCTCCTTCATCTCGTTCAGTCACCAAAAAGAACCGCGACTATTGTTCACGGTGGGGGAGTAGCCGGCGATAGGTTGATAAGCGCATTTCGTTCTGACACATGTTAGCGGTGCCTTGGAGACCTTCCTATGCATGCATACGTTCAAGCTAGACAATACGGGGGGGGGGGACGATAGCCTAACGTATCGGAGGCGAGTATCCCACCAAAGCTGAAGGTGAACATAAATCGGCAGGGAGTGATGAACATGAACAGGACGGTGGACCCGGCAAACTCTAAAACTATGTACACGGGCATGCGCTCTCTGAATCGCCACGACCTTGTGCAGGTCCTAAAGCTGGACTCTGTCGGCGGAGGTGGGGCCGGGGGAGCTCCAGGAAAAGAGGTCAACGCGGAGAACGGGAGGGGAGGTGGTGCGGCAGCGGGCGGCGGCGGGGGATCCAACCTCAGCATGAACCAAACGCTAGAGGGCCACGAGGGTTCTGTGGTGGGCAACAATACTTAAACATGTAGAACATACCTCTATTCTGGTACCCCACACAGAAGGTAGATCCAGCGAATTGATGGTACCGGGGTTTTTGTCGCACATGCCATGAATCGAGAGTTCTGTGGCTCGCTATAGTACTGGAATGGACCGTCAACTGTCAAGGTTTGCGTTCGATAGTGACATGAACCCCCAAGTCAGCAGCGTCCGGTGCGCGTTCCCGGGCAACGCTCCGTTCAAAAAAGAGCTCAAGGCGATATGGGCGGACGAGTTCTCCCAAATTGACGTTAGGAAATTTTTGAGGCACTAATGTAGGAACATGATAAGATGGTCGTTTCCCTAGGCCAGAACCAGCCGGTGAGCGTAACTCGGTGACGGTTTCGGATTGACCAACAACTACAGGTGTGTGTCACCTGGAACGCAACGTACTCGAAGCTCACGACATGCGACGAACAGGGGTTGATCATCGTGTGGATGCTGCACAAGGGCCTTTGGTTCGAAGAGATGATCAACAACCGACACAAGAGCGCCGTGAGGGACATGAAGGTCTGTCGGAAGGGGAGCACCACCATCGAATCCCCAATGTTTTCCCCCGTCTGAATCGTCACACACCAGTGGATTCGAAGTGGTCTGTTGCCCAATTCGTTGAGGACGAAGTCTTCGGGAGAACCTACGGAGGAGAACATGTTCGACAACGTTTCTAGAAACGTACGGGTTTTGTATCAAACAGATAGTCAAGGATCGATACGACACCGACTCTAGGGTCTGGGAAGGCCCCATTGAATTTTAGTACCGTTGATTTAAGGCAGCGTCTTACACTAGCCGCTATTGCAATGTCTCTTGTAGCTTGTACGTCTATCCACACGCGTTGACCCTTTGTGGACCCTTGCCCTGAGCAGTGGACGAGCAACGGGCAGAAGATCTGTATCATCTACGCCGACGGGGCCGTGATCGTCGGTTCCGTCGACGGTAACAGGCTCTGGGGTAAGGAACTGGATATGGGGCTACAGAACGTGGAGTGGTCTCCCGATGGTCGCCGGTAAGTCCTAGCCTTCGCCTCAAGGCCAGGAATGTGGAAGTAGCCCCGCCGCTACACTAGAGTCTAGCCCAAACGTTGACACCAGGGTCGCCGCCGAGCTTCGCTGTCCCAGCTAGAGAAGCCATCCTGATCGACGTGCAACCGACTCTCCATCTGACGGCATATTTCTTCACCAGGATTCTCTTCGCTACGGCGGCGGGAGAAGTCCTCATCTACGACGCCCAGGGCAAGCGGTTGAGGGCCATGACCCTTCCCGAGGGAGCGGAGATCACTCCGGATTCCACCGGCGCCAACAGTCCGACCAGCGGCAGCAAAAAGAAACCGGCGTTTTTGCGAGACGAAAAGGATGACGACGACGACGACGACGATGACAACGAAGCGAAAGGCGGCGAGGGGAAAAACGGTGGACGAAAACGGGGAGAGGGGAAGAAAGGGCGCGTCATTTTCGTGGACTGGTATGACGGTGCCGAGGGACTCCTACACCCGCAAGTTCCGACGCTGTGCATTGCGCTGGATGGGGGCTTCGTGCAGCTGAGCAGGGGCGTGGACGACAATGCGGCACCACTTGTCGTGGACGCGCACATGAGAATTCGGCAGGCGAGTGCATGACATGGATTTGGAGTCGAAACGTGCGATTTGGATACCGTTCGTTCTACGGGACAGTTAACGTCGGGTGTTCTCTTGTGGAATAGTTGCAATTTTTCGACCCTCCAAAGTCAAGTCTACGCTTGTGTAATATAACATTTCTTTACCGTTTGCCCAGATTGCTTGCATCCTCCCCTCAAGCATCAGGGACGCACCAACAATCCCGCCGGTGAAGCATAACGTGGTCGAAGTCGTCGGTGTTGACCGGATTCCGCCTGAGCGCATCATTTCAAGTCACTGGCAATACCCGTGACCACTGCCCGCCTTCCATTCCTCACCGTTCCAGCGTCGTTAAACATATGGTGTGTATTTCTCTGAACGGAGAAGTATGTAGTACGAAACATGAGTTCCGTGTGATGCGATGTGAAAATGTTCCCCCTCCCAACATGAGTTGACTCATTCCCCAGGAAATTATCCCGAAATACCTCTCCAATACTACTCCAGGCCCGGTGGAACACAAACGGAACAGTGCTGGCCTTGAGTGGGGCCGCCACGGCGCATCTCAGCAAGTCCGGGCAGTCGCGAGAGCTTTCGGTTGTCAAACTCTACTCCCCCTACGGGGTACCGCTCCGCACGCTCAAGGTTGGTACGGGTATTGCTTCTCGCTTGGTTGGTTGATGAAGTCGATCCCGCACACTGGTTGGCCGATGACAGATTGGCTATCTTCGAAAGTTCTTCTGTACAAGTATTTGTGGTACATGATGAATGCACTATGTCGTTGTCGTTTGGTACTGCTTTTAACCATCCCAACGTCACTGCAACGCACAGAATCTACCTTTCGCTCACGCTTGCAAGTTTACGTTAGCGAGCGACGACCCGAGGACATGCAGTTGAATTCCCCCCAGGGCTGTCGAGTTTGTGTCAGTGGGTCTTCTATTCCTCGTGAACAAAGAAGCCAAACCCATCCAAATAACCTGAAAGCTCTTTCGATCGAATATCACGTCGGGGATGGGACCCACGACTTCGACCACCCAAGAGTTTCGAGGGTACCTGAAGATCACGCGAATTATTGTTGTGACTCGGTAGTACAAGGTGAAGAGCTTCCCCGTGTCGCTGCAGGTACATATTTCCTGGTTCCAGTTCGATGTGTTACGATGATCACCCCAACGTGAATCGCGGCAGGTGCCGGGCAACGGCATCAGCAGCATGGCGTGGGAGGGGGGAGGATTGAGAATCGCCCTCGCTGTTGACGCCTACATATATTTCGCCAACATTCGGTGAGCACGGCGATCTGATTCTTGTCAGGAGTGTTTGGTTCACGTACATGCGTGCACGTGCGGCACACCTTGGTACCTTCGGCGTGGCCCCGGACAAGTGTCACCAGAACGGCAAGACGCCAGGTTTTCAATGCGACGAGAAAATCAATGTGTGCAAGAGTTGCCAGACCTGCGTCTACTGGCCTGGTGACTGGTGGATGTAAAGGTTGTCGATGACAACCTTGCCTACATTTGAGCCCCAACAGCAAGGGAGAGAGGCCTGCACCTTGTCCACATGGTAGAATGTTGAAATGCCAAATTGTAGCGGTTTCAGAGACCGAAGGAAGTTTTCGGCTTTTCATGTTCTTCTGGGCTTTTCCTGTTTCGGGGTGGTGAACAATCTCTGGATCTGTGTTTTTCGTACCTTGTCACGCGTGAGCTCGTAGACACGGACGCCGCGTCTAACAAGTCCGGAACAGGAGGCCTCGGACATGGGTCAGCACGGCTCTCGTTGTGAACTACCGAAACCACAAAGATGCCGTTCAAGACCACGGATAGATATACCTATGTGCGCGTGGTGTATTTCATTACATATTGTCACAAAGGTGCCTTGTCTGACGGACAAACGCATACGTACCGCATTACAGTCCTGACTACGCTTGGGCATCGACTGCGGGCGGCGAGGTACTTGCGTACGCTTACCAAAAGGCCGACAGGATGGACACTCAGGTATTACAATCCGACGCACCAGGTAGTCAAACACGTTAGGTAGTGTTGTTGAGGGTTGTACGGAGACCTTTCCTATGAAATCTAGCTGAAGGCCGGCGAGGGGCGAGTCCGCCACTGTGTCACGGTATTTTTCCCGGCGATGCATTGATTTCTGAGGAAGAAGAAAGCACAGGGCCTCGTGGAAGCGAGTTCTTCCCAAAGCAGTGCTTGTTCAGGTCCGCTGTCGTATCCGGGAATCTCAACGCCCGTCCCTATCTGCATACAGGTTTGCTTCTGGGACCTAAAGGCAGGGGAGAGGCGCGTGAAGTCGCACCGAAACCTGAAGCTTATCTGTGGGGGTGGGGAGCACGTGTGCCTTGTCACAGGCCCAGACGACAGGGGAAGGTGAGCCAGACGCAAAACAGAGGACACACAGCTTCCAAGAGTAACTGCACGACAAAACTCCTTGCCACTGCTGTCGTGGTGAGAGGATTTCTAAATGCCCACACCTTGCCAAACGCATGCATACCGTAGGCCGAAAAGTTCGCGTTCGTCTGCCGGGGGACCTGGCGAACACCGGAGGTGGACGAAAAGGCTCCGTAGAATTGCATCGAAATCGCCCCCCTGCGGTTGCCTCGTTTTCAGTTGTCGGTGCTCGTTGGTTTTCTTCTTCGATTTCGGTGCTCACGCTTCCGCTTCAAATCCTCTTGCGGTACGTACTTCATCGTCCTCAGCTGCTGCGATAATTGCCAACTGTGGTCTCCGTTTCGCGACCCCCACGTTGCCATCGTTTTTTTTTCTCTGCGGTGGTTTCGATTTCTCTAACGCAGGCACTCGTTGATCCTGGTGAACTCGATTGGATCCACTCTTGAGGAACGTGTCCTCCCAGCCAGAATTGCTCCCTTGAAGATGGCCATGAGTGGAGCCCACGTCGTCGTGTCAGGGGCGGCGGCGGCCTACGTCTGGCAGTACAAGAACCAGGCAAGTTGTTAACTCAGTCGCAACGGAGACCTAAATTGAGTATCTACAGACGCGTTCAAGTTGTTTTTTGGACAGTGCTTCGGCAGAACAAGACGTAACGTCGAACTATGAGGCACCCAATGTTAGTGTATGTTGTTTTACAAGCTGGGGGGCAAACGTCTCCTACCGCGCCAATCCGCCCGACGTCCAGCAGCAGGAATAGTGCTAGCACTACCCCTAAAGTCCGGGACCGAAAACGGTAGAGACGTCGCTTAGCAGCTCCCGATATTTGCACAACTTTCTTGGGTGGTCCACCAGAAAGGCAACCACAACAACACGAGATCGTCTCCTCTCGTGCACCGACAGGAAACTTCTCCCTTCCGAGACAGTGACCCCGCCACGGCAATCGCCATGGCCCTCAAGCGCACGCCCGGTGCGGGCCGCGAGAGAGTCATTGACCCGGACAACCTGACGTCCCCCGCCTGCGCCCCGGAGGCCTACGGCGGTCCTGCGGGGGACAATGATGAAGCCAACTCCAACCCAATCACAGGTGATTGCTCGAATAGGTCAAGCTCTCCCCAGACGAGTATTGTCAACGACCACGGTGGGACTGCTGTAGACGACCTCTTGGGTGGACCCACGCCCGACCTCGATATTTTGTATCTGTCCTATCGTCGTTGCGAGAGTCACGGTCGGCATGCCCGCGTGCATGGTATCAACGCGCGTCAGGCTTTAGCGTCCGGCGTCGTGGTGCTGCCCCAGGGAGTGAAGCTAAGGCCACTTCTAACTCGATAGCAAAGTTCAGACCACAGGGAAAAGGTTATAGCACGCTTTAACGGCATGTTGGGCCCCTTCAGGAGTCGCCGAAAGCAGAAGAGGCTAATACAGACGGCCGAGCCAGAAATCAAACCGCGGGCGCCGTCCGGTACAATCACGACGATTGCACGGATAAGGAGGGAAGGACGATATTAAGAACCGAGCGAGTGACAATAGTTCGATGAAAAGGGAAGTCCGCCAAAGAGACACGTTAGCGAGGTGTCTCCAGTTGCCTTTGCCGCACTTTACGACACCCCCCCGGGCCACACTAACTCGCTTCTCTCCTTGTTTTGCAGCGGTGGCCGTGTCTGAGAGCTGTTTTCTTCTCGGCAGAGAGGACGGCACTATCTGCCGCTACACCCTGCCCCACATCAGCCGGGAGAACAGGTAGACCCCTCCAGACCCTAAGCGGATAACGCGACATGTAAACCCGCATGTAGAACCTTTCAGTGCATGCTGTTGTATGCTCAGTAGCTCCTTCCTGTCCATCTCGAATTTCAGCCTTTGTTGTATAGGTGCAACAGTATTTCGTTTCGGATTCCCAGTGCTTCGGACTTCGAGTGTTCTGCGGAGCGGGCCAAATCTAGAACCTCTTATATTGCTCCAGGAATAATATGACGCTTTGGCCTTCCTTTCCCTCCCCGAAAACGCCTGTCCAACTGAGATGCATGTTGATACCCTCTTCTGCCAACACCTTCGCCCGATACACCTCGTCTACCGTTTCGAAGTTACACGGTGCGGTCGAAGCCACAACAGATGGCGTTGAACCTCAACAGCTCTTTATTGGCGGTCATTGATGCGACCGGGGTGCTTTCCGTCCAAGACCTCGATTCCAAGGTGGGAACACCCTGTAAAGTCTCTAGGCCCTCGATATGGCTTCCCCTGATGAATATCACACTACAATAACCACTCCCTTTCCGTTTCTGTGAGGACGACAAGGGAAACCACCGTGATGCATGTTTGAATCAAGTGGTGGTTGGCTGTAGTGTATATGGTCTCGAAACGTAGTCCAACAAGTATAAATCCGACAGACGCTCTTTGAAAATAGAGAAAAACGTTGTGAAAATTGATTGAAGCTTGTGTATGGGTTCGATTGGACATACAGTACTTGTGAAATCGCGTGGGTTGCTCGGCATCCCGCGTTGTCGAGGCCGACGGTAGAGGTGGAGATGTAGGGGCGGGGATCACTGATGCCCTGTAGCATGGGGGTCGTCGCAAAACACATCAAGCCAGTGCACCGTACCTTTTGTTTCCGTGGCCCTAATGTACTTGTGGGGGCTATTGACAATGGGGGTATAACTCAACTGGGCGTTCCGATATTGCGTGACGCAGTCCCCTGGCGACACCTCGAAAGGAGCAGGAAGAGAATCATTGGACAACGGGCCTTGGGCAAGCTTGGAGAGGCGAGATACGTGGGACATCGTATGGGCGACTGATGATCCTAGTCAGGTGAGCATCATCATCTGAAACACATTGGTTCGTGTTAAGAGCTGTTCAGGCGACGAAAGACGAGCGGGCAGCTTCGAAGCGTTGGGCCACCTTCAACGCTCAGGCTCGCCGTAGCTGCTCTGCCCGAGGCTGTGCTATTCCCTAGGGCAGGACAAACCCTAGACTACAGTGGTTTGAATGAGCTTTATGGTTCAGCCTACATGTTTTTGCAAGCAAACAAATGTACCGATCTATTTGAGTAATCGCCTCAGCATCATGTCACAGCAATCGTGCGTTGATGATATTTTGGTTGGCACACTCAGATTCGTGTCGCTGAAACACGCCAAGTAGTGGGAAATAACGTCATGCGGGTGTTGAGGTTGACGCCTTGGCCACTGCCTCCAACGCTGCAGATAGAACCAAAGGTCGTCGAATGTCTCGAACTTTGACAAGTCGATTGCACCGAACAGGTGCAGCAGCAATTCTTGAAAGGAGCAGTTCATCAGACCGGAAGTGTACCCGTGAAATTGTTCACTCGCTGCCTCCTCCACTCCTGCTGCCTCTGCTGCCTCTGCTGCTGTCCCAACATTCGCGCAGTTAGCAGCAATGGAGAAAACCAAAATGGTGGTGTTTAACAACGGGGAAGCTGAGGAGCCGGTGCCGTGTACCCGAAATCTGTGCCGGTTAGAGGGACTCGAGGCCCGAACGGTGGGCCTGGATGATATCATGGCGGCGCCCGAAAGTCCGGACAGGTGACACAACGCCAGCCCCGCATCGACTCGCAAACTAACCTCATTCGTTCGGGCAACGCATGGACTTTCACTCCGCTATGTTGTGGACCTCGAAAACGGTTGGCTGCTCCTCCGGAAACCTGAACCTACAATAGAAACGTAATTGCACCAGGATGCGAAGTTGATTCCCATGCGCGGAAGAGACTGTTTGGGGTTGGGGGGCATCGAGCGTAACGTCTCTACTCGTGTTCCCGTAAAGAAGGTTCACGGACACCGATTCCCATACTTTTCGCGAGTTGGGCCATACTGCAAAGTGTCGAAGCTTGTGCCACAGGAATCGGTTTTCATCGTGGACCACGAAACCGCAAGCATTCGGGAGCAGTCAAGCGCTCCTGACGATGTTTTCAACGTGTGTGCGATAGATATCGGCCTCGAGGGAAGTTGAACAGCGTCCCTCTCCGTCGGAGTGAAAATAGAGGCGGGCTTAGCAAGTTGGTCAGCATGGTGCCTGGGTATCCTCGACACGCGTCCCATAGTCTCCCTCAAAAGGCACCGAGAGGAGGAAGTTCATGCAGACTAGTGTGAACGCGACATGCCTTACAACCCCGAGAGCGTGTGAACTGCGAATCGCACGGCATCGAAAACTACATCAACATCGACCCATCGATCATGCATATGGATGATCTTGATCTGTCGCGCGCGTAGCTAGAAGAATACGAACACAATATCCACAACAACAACTTCGTTGATTGAAACAAGCACGTGGAAAAACGCACTTGACACTCCCTAGGTGAGCATCGGGTGATATACGATATGATTAATCTACCTTACCGCTAACCCTCGGAAGGGACACATCCCCGCAGGTTACTTGTGCACGGATTCACCATGTTCATACACTCCGTTTTTCAATCAGGCCACTGTTTCCCGCCCCCAGGTCTGTGGTGGTCGACGTCGAAACCGGCGCGCTGGTAGAGGCACGGGAGCTGATTACGACGGACGGTCTGCAGGAGGCCTACCAGGTCATCTCGAAGAAACCCCATCCCCGGTAAGCCCCCCTTCAATCCCCAGTACGGGAGGTTTTGGCGTCATTCAGACTTGTTACGAAGCTTACGTGTGCTTCTGCAATAAAACCGCGGCAGCGTTCAGCTGACAGTAAGAAACGACCTCAACAGCCAACTGCGTGGCCGCTCAGCGAAAGCTTGTAATATTGCAAACGAGAAATGTCACGCACACATCGCGTTATGAGTGCTTGTGCCTCGCGAGGCCGCGGCTTGCCCTTCGCTGCTTGTATCTGCCAGCCAAAATCTAGGAGGCCGTACTTACGGGAGGGGGTGGAGATGCTGGCCGAACCAAAACCAACACGAGGAACACCTTCTTCTACGCTTTCCCGCGGACCCTTCAATTATGATTGCGTTCGCGTTGCCTTGGGTACGAATTGTCATTGTAACTTTTTAGCTACTGTACGTACAGTTGAGCTTTCCACTGTACGTACAGTTGAGCTTTCCACATCTCAACAAGCCCGAAAACAAGGAGCGCACCGTGGAAGGTTTCGTGACATCTCTCGACTTTCACCACAATCACTCTTGCGTACTTGATGTTGGCTCTCTTCGCACTGCTAAAATGCTGGTGGTACTGTGTTTCCGGCTGTTCCACCCGTTTCCGGAAGATGCCTCACATTGCCTACTTTCCTTCTTTGAACATGCGGGCGCGTTGTGCAATCAGCCTTTGGAAGCTGCTCGCTCAGCAGGCGTTGGAGGCCCAGGATCTCAACATGACCGAAAAGGCGTTCGTTCTGTGCGGAAAGAATGCCTTCCACGGTGTGCGTCTAGTCAAGCGGTTGAGCAACATCTCGGACAGGTCAGCAAGCATTATTGTGGAGACGCATCTCAATCCGAACGACATGTATGTCTGCATGGTACAATGCAAGAATGGGGCAACATCCGATGTAACACTACTGCAGTTTCGGCCATGTCACCAGTTCCCTCCCCTTCTTGCCCCCCTCTACAACCGCTAGGATAAGGCGCCGGGCGGAGGTGTATAGCTACTTCGATCGCCACGATGAGGCGGAGAACATGCTGCGAGAGATCGACCGGAGAGACCTGACCATTTCTTTGAGGGAGCGGCTCGGGGACTGGTTTAGGGTCGTACAGGTGACAGGCCAGACGTTGTCGGCGCACTTTCACCGTGTACCACTACTACGTAGAGTTTTGTTGCTCGTAGGAGTAAGGCAAGAGGAAACGAACCAAACAATAACTCATTCGATGGGGCATACATACCGCACGCACCCTCGAGCTTGGTGGGATCATGTTCAACTTCCCCCTTTTCGGCGAGTCACCCGTGCCGACGGGTGCAACCCTTTCAACATATATGTACATCAAAATTAACGTCATTCTTTGCTCCTTCCCGCCTCTGAGAGCTGGGTGCGAGTGCTCTTCCGCCACACTAAAGGCAAGGGACTTTCCCCCGTTGAGTACAACCGTGGTTTGGAGTTGGTTCCGGGTTGCGGATGAGTTCATGCAAGAAAGATTGTATGCGCTGCAAGCGCCTGCGTGGTTAGATCGTACAAATTTTTCGACCACGCTTCTTTCGTCAAGGGCAACTGCCGGAATCTGAAGAGTGATGTAAGGATGATTTTGAGATACCATACGGGCCGGCGTGCTTCGGGACGGTGCGGGGAACCATATCCTCCACTGTAGACAATTTAGGCCTCTAACGCACGACCCACCAGATGAGAATATCGTGAAGTGGAGGCTCGACATCTGACAGCAGCGCAACTCTGGCGTGATTAATGCGTTTCACGTACAAAGACTTTGAAACCACCACACATACACCCACAACCGCCAAAACAAGAAACCGAGCTCATTCACAGCCCTGTTGGTGTTTTGTCTCGCATGGGTTGATTAACTCTCAACAGAGGCAACACGGTCAACTTTTGAAAATAAAGCTGGCACACAATACTGTAGCAGCATGGTACACCGTCTGTCCGCGTGCTTGATAGTGCTTTAGCCTCATGAAGCTGACGGTGTTGCCTCTGTGTTGGGTGTGTTTCCCGCCCACGCCATCACGAACAACTTTGCTACAGCTGATGAAGCAAGGGGGGGGCGACGACGAACAGCTCTGCGCGGCGTGGGGCAAGATTGGAGCCTACTACACGGAGCGGGGAAAGTGGGGCAAGGCTGTGCAGTATTTCAAGCAAGCCAAGGATCTAAGGATGATGGCGGAATGTTACTACAGGTACGAAACTTATAACCTCGTGGGCACACCAGTACCGCACCTTAGGCGTTTGGAATCAGACGTGTTCCCGTTGCTTTTTCGTGGTAGAAGTTGAGCAGGCATGCGAAAATATTTTCCAAGACTCCTTGCAGACACAGATCGAACACACTGTGCACAAATCATGATTGATGATAATTGTTCTCGCCGCGAGATACCACCCCTGATATTTTTCTCCGTGTGAGGATGCCCCCCACGAATCACGACTGGCGCGATTTCACCCATTGGGAGGTGATATTGTTTGGCGCATTCGCAGTGGCCGTGCGTACATTAGATCAATCCAACATCCATTTTGCTCGGTGGCTCGATCGGGCGTCATTGGGCACGCGTCACCTTCTGTGGCCAGATTTCGATTTACCGGAAAACTACCGTGATTGTTGTGCCCGATAGGTTAGAGCAGTATGCCAGCCTTAGGGAGCTGGTGGACACCCTCCCGCATGGAGCGACCGAGCTCGCCGAACTCGGCACCATGTTCGAATCAGTGGGGCTGGGGGAAGACTCGGTACGGGCGTTGATAAGGCTCGGGGACCCCAAGGGAGCGATCGACTCCTGCATCAGGCTCAACCACTGGAGAAGGTGTGGGGATTGAGCTCTCCGGCTATTGCGATGATGGAGGTTCAAGTACGAAGGCTACATTTTGTACGACGTGGCCGCTATCCCTTGGTGCAAATATTCGCACCGACATCACCGTGACATGAGAAATACTCATTTGCTGAGCCGAGGAGTCTCTCGGTGGATATGTCTGAATCCACCCTACACATTCGTTTCTGTGTAGCTCATGCCGATCTGAGGTAAGCTAGAGGGGTGACGTGCGCAAGACCATTTTCGAAATTGGCGCCTGAGCAACATGTGGAACAAGTAATTTGTGATAAACCTCCTCTGGGCTGCTATTGAGATGAAGGATGTCACAATAACAGACCATCTCTCACTTGCGGAGCACCGCGACAACAAGAAACACGTTTCGTTTGCGGTGAAGAGCCCAAAGCCGGCGATTCTCGTGGACAGTGTTGTTGCACTCGATCGAATGAAACACGACCAAGTACCGCCTCTTCTACGCTTCCCTTCGTCTCCATGCGGACTGTTCTCAAGGGCCGTCGACCTCGCAGAGAAGCACGACTTCCCTCAGATTGAGGCATTGTTGGTGCGCCACACGGGCCAGCTCTTGCAGAAGGGCGACCCTCTGCAGGCGGTTGAGGTGTTCCGCATGGCTGGGAAGGCCACCGACGCCGCGCTTCTCCTGGCAAAACTGGCCGAAGATGCGGGTGAGGTTCGCGTTCTTCATGCTTCCCACGGCTGTCACTTCTCGAACATCATTTTCGATATTCCAAAGAAGCGTCGAAAGACTCTCTCTTATGAAGCAGATGCACCTCGGTTGTAGGGTAATAACGAAGGGCGTCAACAGTGGCACATGCACTTTCTTAATTAGACGGGCAGATCTTCAGCTGAAGAGGAAACCGTTTGATCTGCCGTGTACGGGTTATGTGCAAGTCCGGCGACTGCCCTGAACGTAACCCGTCGGAAACTGCGCCATAACGCCTGAGTTCGTCCGCACCGCAGGAGGGTGAGCCACGCCCCCCTACAGCGTTCCGCGGGATTGAATCGTGTGAAACCCTTACGACGGAAATAACGTGCAGGCCGAAGGCGAGTTGATCCCCTAAGGGCGAAGAAGCTGCACGTACTCGCGGCCTGTGAAGTGGAGCGTCACCGAAAAATTGCTCTCGGAGGGAACGGCGCATCTCGTCAGGTGACCCAAAAGCAATCCCCCAAACATGAAACGTGATTCACGTCCCAATCTTCATTCAAGGCTACGCTAGCACCCCTTCTGCCTCAAAGCTACAAGCACCCCGTGCCGCAAAGCTTCTTTCGAACAATAGCGTTTTCCGGCCGCCTCGTTCACAGACAGATTTCAAAACCGTTGGAGTGGGTTGTTGGGGTTCGCGACAAGGCTAATGTGTCAATGCTACCCAGGGTATGATTGAGTGATGATGAAGCGACAGATACTTGTGCTATGTCCTATTCTTCATTTCTGGGTTCCGATCCGTCGATTGCACAATCAGTTGTATTCGACTCGGAAAATCGTTGGCGCAACCCTTGACGCCAACCACCGCCGGCCTCAACGTACTGACAGGGGAGGTCAGCCACAGAGGTAGCGGCCGCCACGGCTGCCACGCTTAACACCCTCATGGCCACCACATCAGAGAACGCCGAAGATAAGAGAGCGGCAAAGGTGCGTCTCTCGTGCATCAGCCTACACCGAGAAATATGTTTGGGAATTTTACGCGAGAGCATCATGGCAGCGAGTTTACTCTTGATTTTTCATCATTTCGGATGCTTCAACAAACACACATGGAGGAAACCACACGTCACACGAAGCCAATGAAACCACGATGTATTGGGTTGGCCTCGCCCGCGCGAGATGACTGTTTACGAGGGCAAACCCCTTCTCGAGTAGGCAATATTTACCCCAAAATCAGCGTGAGGGCGAAAGAAACTTTCATACCTTGACCGGTTGTAGTTGCTGCACTGAGAATTGGATGGTGCGGGACCAGGTTCTCGACAGCGCCTGGAGAGGGGCAGAGGCGTACCACTACTACATGCTTGCTCAGCGTCAGTTATATCAGGGAAAAGTGGACAAGGCCGTGCGGACAGCCATAAGGTGAACCGGGGGCCTACGCGAAAATTAGTTGGTAATCGATTTCAATTGCTTCCAGGACGTATTGTATTGTCTACCAGCACGTTGTCAGCTGATTTTGTCTGTTCCGAACGTCCCATTACGTTGTGCCCAAGATATTTCAAGACTCAACGGAACAAGCTCGACATTTCGATCAGCATTTTGCACTGAAACAGTTCTTTCCATAAACCACGCGTTCTCTCTCCCGGATGAAACCAGAGGTCCTGCGAGTACCATGTCTGGATACTGTATGCCGTGAAGCTTCCGGGCGCAGTATCCCCCTCATGGCCATGATTTTTTTCCAAGAGAACGACGTTTACGTGCAACGCAGTGTCCACGCAAAGTACAACACGAATCGTCCGTCATTGCCAATCGCAAGGTGTGCTGAATTTGAGGACATCCTTTCGCCTTGGGACATCTATTGCCTCGTCGCGCTGACGGCATACCACAGCGGCTACATGGGCGTGTGCAGCAGGTGACGTACCCTACAGGGAGGTCTGCGTGCACGGTTGTCACGTTCCCACAGTAGCGCTTTAGCAAAGCCGTGTTCGCGGGTTTGGATATTGGGTCATCACAATGTCCAGACCAATGAGTTTTTTTCGCTAGCGGAGGTTCTTTGCACCAACGTTGAGCTAGGCTACGGCTTGTGTAAGGAGTGAAGTCGAACCGTTGCTCTGCTCTCACGCTTCAACAGGGCGTTCGTGAAGCTGGAAACTCTCCCCAATCAGTCGCCGGAGAAGCTGGAGGCGGCGCAGGTGCGTGCCTCATGCGGTGAATGTCTAGCCTTGACCGTAAGTTGCTTGTCAAGAAACGACATGTGCACCCCTGCGTGGAACCGTGCACACACTGGCGTGGATGCTATGTACCTCTTTTGTTGCTGAAAGCCAAACGTTGTACGCGGCCAATAACCATAACCTTTCTTCGGCCCATCTGTCGGAACCTTGTGGCTCTTCTCGTCGAAGAGCTGGAGGGCACTCAAACATGTATTCTGACCCTGACAACGCAAGTCCACTAATTATTTCCGCGACACGCACGCGCGCTCTCATGAAATCGCCGTAGGCTCTAGCATTGAAGGTATTCACGCGGAACCCTCCGATTGATCCCGAGCCGCTGGAATCGCACTGTCTGGAGTGTTTGGACGAGGGCCGGTCATACCAAGCATGCACGGCCTCGGGACAGGTGTGAAAAAGTCGAATTCAAAAACGAAGCTGAAATGATTTGCAATTGATGTTTACCGCCTACATATGTTAGTACTCCCCCGACCGGGTAATTAAATCCCCTTTTTCTCGTCCAAATGATTCTATCTGACACAGGTCATCTCGTCCAGAGGAAGAGCGCTGATGTGCAAGACTTGCCGGCATTTTGCCATTGAGTCCGAGCTTGAGAGACGCGCCCAATGTCCCCTTTGCCACGCACCAATGCGGTGACTACCGCATGAGGCAACGCGCAACTTACGCCATGCTCTATTGGGGTATGGTCTCGGCATCGCTGTTAGATGATGGAAGAAGCACTAGAGAAATATTCCCCGTCGTGCCCCCGGGGGTCGATTGTAAAATGTTGCTTGAAAATATCACCAGCGCTAAATTGGAGGTATGATACGGGGGCGATAAAAGGTCGTCGGAGGGCGATGAGTCCCCGGTGTCATTCCAATAGCCAGAAACACACGCCACACAACACGTTCATGATGTTTGTGGCGTACGTTTCGTCTCTATTGCCTGCCGCATATTGAATATGTGGCGCCGCAGATTGTGTTCGTTCGTTTGCCCCCGTGGGTTTACGTAGCGGTCGGTTGTCGGCATCAGTAGCACTCTGCTGAAGAGAGATCGTTTGGAATGACCTTGATGTTTCTTATCAGCAACGAAATACCTCAACAGTTAACGGATTTTGGCTTATTCCCTTTTGTACTCGCTCGACGCTACCCGTAAACCGGTGTTCGTGGTGTCTCGTGTGCACGACACATGCCCTCTTGCGCCAGCCAACCCACACGGCAAACACTACAATCACAACACACACAACGTCACCCAGATACAAACGCGCCTCCCCTTCCACTATTCACCAACCTCAATTCCCATTTCAACCCCCTCCCTAAGTGTAATAAATTACAGGGAAGAAGGCTGTTAGATTCTCGTGATCGTCCGAGGGAGGTCGTTGAGATCGGCGAAATACGGGTCGTAAGTTGGACGTGCAGGGGTCGATCTTACATAATTTCAACCCGAGACTACGACAACGCTGTTACAACGCTTCGGGCGATTTTGTTGGACGGGAAGGGCTGCGGCAGAAGATGTTATGACAGGCTGCCGGCAAGGACTGGTCTCTTGGACATAGCATTACAGGCCAAGCGATTCCAAAAAGTACCCTATGGTTCAACATATAACCCGTAGGTGTGTATAATCTACCGAAGACTATTCCGGTAATACTCCTCAGGTGCATACCTACGTGCTGTGTATACAGCAGTACCAATACGTATGACTGACATTGAGTATTCCAACAGCGAGGTGGATCCCCACCTCAACCAGACCTTCCTCGCTCTCAATTCAACCAACATCTCATTTCTACAAAATCAATCGTGGAGACAAGGCATCAAGCGACCGTACCTCTTTATTTACCCTAGGCCCCAGCCGCTTCCAACAGTTGGGGCACCTTCACATCTGGCGTCGTCTGCAGGACTCTTACCTTGCAGTGAGTTCTCTCTCTTTCTGATGTCTTGTTGCGCAGTAGGCTTGCTTCTCTAGCTTCTGATGTCGTGTGTGTGTGTCTTTATCACTAGCATCGACCGTTCTAACCGGCTGGCCTATGAAATGGCGTCAGTCTCAGTGCGGTTAAAAACACAAAACACTTCTAATTGCCATAAACTGGCCCCGTGAGGGGTGGCATGGGGGAGGCTAAGATATTCACCGGATTGAAGACAGAAACGGCTGCCATGGAAGGAAACTGCACGTGTCTTCCAAGGCTGCTATCTTGCACTCTCGAGTTCGTCTGGGAGCGCTTTCACCAGCATCCTCCTTGCTTTCGCCACCATTACTCTCATCGTCGTTTCTGTTTGTTTTCTTCCGTGTTTTCGTACACATTATCCTTGGGCGCCAGCGTAGCTTTTCTGTACATGTTTGACGCACCAGCCGGGAAGATGAAGGCACAGCAGGTTCATTTCTGTAGTGAAATATGTATGCCTGCGTGAATTCGCACGCGCACACGTGGCGTGGGACGCGTCTTGCTCGGATCCCGTCGTATTTCATCCACCGTCAACTGGGTCATCGAGTGGGCTGTTGGTGTTGATTTTGACGTTTCGTCACATGTTTTCAGCCTGTTTTTTATTAGGTTTAGACCTTAAGGAGACCTGAATTGGGTGGTAGCCCGGAAACCATTGACAACCTGGCTGATGTGCTGTTGTGTGACTTCCTAGCTGTATTTTCGCGGTTACCATCCAACTTTGGATGATTGCTCCATGAAACCATTCCATTTATTCCGTTTGACACGAAGAAACCACTTTTGCTTTATTTTACAACCTTGTCGGATCAACCCTTTTCTTCAAGTATATGTCGATGCCGTTCTCGACCAATGCCTCGCTGTAGGACTTTTCCAGCGCCCGCAGTCGCCGTCGGCGGCGAGTTCTCTCGTGGAATCACTACAACGGACTGACGGTTGACTACAGAAAGCTCAACTCGTTTAGGAAATCTCAACCAACCACGCCATAACCCACGAGTTGACCATATCATCGACTTTATGTACCAGGGTAAGGGTGGTGTTCATTTTCGCCGTGAATCTCGGCTTCCACCACCATTTCACGGTGGACGGTGACGCGGTTCGACTGACGGCGTTTTGCTCGCCTACGCAGCTACTCAAGCGGTTTCGGACGCCTCAGGGGATTTCCGTGGCGACATCGTGGTTCACCCTATGGTCATCAACGAGGGTGGTTAAAGGTCTGGGTCAAGTGTGGGAATACTTGTGACGATGCTGTTGCGTTCGACGCGCACCCGATCCAACATGCAGCCAACGTGCGTTGTTCTATCGGGAGTCTACACAAGTACAACGTCTAGCTATTTGTCTCGTCTCTCGGTGCCGAGGAAAATATCTGCTTATGTAGGCTTCACCATCTCTCCTGCTAGTGTTGGTCCTCGCGCCGAAAAGGTTGAGGCCCTCAACAGATGTCGCTGCCGACGAACGGTATGCAGCAGCTGTGTTCCTTTCTGGGTGGCCTCTCGTACAGTACCGAACATTCACCACAGGTCCTGCCATGCGCGTTAACCAACCCACTCACAAACCTCCGCGCGAAGACGTCAATCTTAGTTTTACACCAGACATGATGGGCACAGTCCAAACCCCCATGGGTGTCAACTCTAACCCTCCAATTTTGGCGGGGGGGTTTTCTGATTGGGACGCTGGCGCGGACGATAGATGTTCTCTCCGCCCATGCTGCGACGCCCGCGTGTAAGCTTTCGAACGAACGTCGCTCAAACAAGAACAGACCCATAGTTCTATTTGCCCCATTCTTGAGCCATACTATGTTGGGAGCGGAACGCCACTGTGCCGTTTCGGACTGGGAAGCCAGAAGTAAGTATGGTATTGATGACTAAGCACTTGTTTGTGCGGGTTCCTGTAGTACCCCTTTTGAATCAGTCGGCCCACAAAGCCTTGGAAGTAACCGCGTGGGCGAACACAATGCGCTCGTACAATGCTAGCTTGTTTTCCGGTCCTCGTCCAGGTACACCCTTTGTTTCCGGAAAGGCGCTGCCAATGCTGAAAAAGGGGGATATTCTTGAGCTGTTGCCCTTACTCGCAACCGAAGTGAGCAAAAACGTGCCAGCAGCATTGCGGTCGATGGTACTGCAGGCGGTTTTTTCATTCGGGAGAGCGAATCGCGCTACCACGCCGGTCCGACACCGAACACTGGCTTCGGTGGGCTTGGCCCTACGTAGGCTGCGCTGCACGCCCCTTGCAACGGATGTCTGCTACAGAGATTTTCGCCGTTTTGGGCCAAGCATGGTGGTGCTGGCTCCTGAGTCCGTCCGCCCCGCTTGTTCGCCCCCAGGTGTTTCTCTGTCGCCGGCGATTCAACCCCCGCGGGTTCTGTGCCCGATAGGCCTCTTGGCATCTGCGGCACCAGACGTCGTTCTCTCGTCCGTCGATAAATCCCCGGCGGCGTCTCGCTCGTCTTTGCGAACTCTTGCTGTACTCGGACAAAATCAAACTCACACTCTAGAATGGTCCAAGACCGTCCTACATTTTTTTCCGAGGCAGCCGGGGGGCATTGTTGCGCCCAGAACCGCGCGAGCCCCTCGGAAGCCACGCCTCTCGCACGGTGACACCCGGTCGGATCATGTCACGGACCGCTCTGTTTCTAATTCGCCGCCCTCGGAGGCAGGCGAGCGACTTCAGACATTGCCGACCCCGTATTTAGCTTGTCGCTGTAATCGGCGACCGAAAGCTGCCACGATGTCATCGCATCCACCGCCGGTGGAGCATTTGTCGTCGTCGTCGTCGCTACCGCCTGCTCCCGTTAGCCCCGGACCTTCTTTTGGACCCGCCCAAAACCCCGCGAGGGAGCCCATCTCCGTCACCCATGCTGACTAGGCTAAAATGAAGCACTGTTAGGAACGTCCGTGCGTTGCGGCAGGCGGTAAGTATGCTTTCTATCCCTATGCATAGGACCTCCAACGGCCCCGCGGCATACATTGTGGGATTCCGCTGCGAGTGCATGACAGCAAGCAATCAATGCCCCGCGTCGTTGCTCTTGCTTGTAAAGCGTCACTGCACACTCTACAAACGACTGGACGAGGCTACATTGGCTCGGCATTCTACCTCATTGTCATTGCCCATGGGTAGTTGCGCGGACGAACCACTCGACTTCCACATTCCAAACCTCCCGCGTACATACTTGCGAAATGCTGTTGAGGCCGTGGGTCCTGCAAGCATGCCACGCTACCATGGTTTTGCACACCTGAGGACCGCTCGGAGTGAACGAACGCTGGGGCGATCGTTCTTCTGGTTAAATGGTGGATCGGCATTTGATCTGTCGGTGCGAGCATTGTTGGTGTGCCGAGAGCGCAAGACTGCTCGGCAAATCTATTCTTGGTCGACACTGGCCAGAGAGAGAGAGAGAGAGAGAGAGAGAGAGAGAGAGAGAGAGAGAGAGAGAGCGAGAGAGAGAGAGAGAGAAGTGGCGGGGGTGGGGGGAGAAGGAAAACAGAAAGCGGGGAATGTAGCATTTGTGTGTGGACAAGACCACAATGGCTGACAATAGTGTGAAAACTCAGGGAGAACTCACGATATCGTTTGTCCCACGACAGCTACAGTATGTATTGTAGAGCACTTACTTGCAGTTTGATGTCGACCACCAACAACGTCAATCTTGTATATGCATCCACGTCTGTATGCCGACAAGCGACAGCACCAACAGCCAGCCCGGAAGTCGATGCCACTGAGAGGGCGTTTAAACAACCTCAGCCTGCCCGAAGGCTCTTCGTACTTATAGTTCATCCTTCTATAAATCATCAGGTGTTTTCTTTCGCGAACGGACGGCGACCTGGCCGGGTGATTCTTGCATAAGTGAGAGACCCAAGCCGTACTGCGACTCGGGCAATGAGGTCTAGATATTTAGCACCAGATGACATCCACACCGCCGCATAGCTTTCGCAGAATGTCTGGGGAAAATCCGTGGCACGACATTCTCTATGGTCGCGGCCGGCCGTCTCACACGGGTGTTTCAAAACGTATCACTCATAATAAAAACTCTGAGAGAAGGGCAAAATCATGGGCCATGCGCCAGAGCACCACGGGACGAACACCCACACAAAGGGTTAGCGAGGTATTGTATGCTAACAACAAAACGCACAACACACGCTTTAGCCCTGTGACCAAAGAGGAAGGCGTCCGCGTACCCCAGACCAGATGTCTCCAATATATGAGCCCTTCTACACGATCGCAGTATCCAGCACACACCACCCACCTCCATTTCCTCACTCTCCGATTCACACAAATTCCATGGTCGGCCACAAGCTAACAACCTCCAACAAGCAACGCATAAATACAAGACGGCAACACGTAAAAAAACACCTAGAGTACGCTCAACCACTAGCAGCGAAGAAACACAAATTCGATGCAAACGCATGATGTAGAACAGGAAACACTATGGGTGTGCGTGTGGGTGTGTCCACCCCGATTGAAGTGCCCACGGTAGCAGCCGGATCAGCGATGGTGGCGTACAGGGGGGCAGTTGTCCCACGAAACGCACACGGGACACGCCGCCCAAAACACCAAGGACAAAAACATGCAACCACGTAATAAACGCCCGCCGGGTGCAAACAGACAACTCGGAAGAACGATTGGCCTACGAGCGTGCGATGCCGTTCGCATCTAACGCCAGGCACGCGCGACCCCCAAACAACGCAACGCACACAAAGGTAGCGTAGGCCGACTCTCACAGCCGCCGTCGGCGGCGCACTCACGCACACAGCAGCAGTACCGAAGGACCCATCACACGACAGACGACAGGAGACATTGACATACAAATAATATTTCCTGTCTGTTGGCCAACAGACAAACCATAACGAGCAGGAGAACGAACTTTGGAAGTTCGGAATGCACGCCGCAGCAAGAGAGAAAGCGCGCAGCAGCATCAAAGCCGCAGCGGGAAATTGTCGCTACTCCATGCTACGCTTGAATACTTACAAACGACTTGCCACGGCAAAAGTTGAAATGCCGCCGACTTGGAAGAATGGTCCGTGATCGTGCGGCTACTGGGACGACCGAACTGCCTTCGCAATGTAACGTCTCTGAAAATATATTAAGGGCCTAACCCTAACCCCCAAACCCACCACGTACGCACCCCCCCAAACCCACCACGTACCCCCTCTTTAACCAAGCATTATATGCTCGCGAAGGCTATCGACGCGACCAAGCCGACATAGGACCCAACAAACAGGGCTCCCTTCGACGCCAAGGCTCACACAAGACAGCAAAAAAGCGCCAGAATCGAAGACCACCGGACTGCCTCTACAGTGTACTTTCTCGTTTCGAGCCAAGTACAAGGGGACGAATCGGCCCCGCTTTTGCGGACCAAAGGGCTCCCACGCGCGCACTATTAAAAAATTAGAATATGTAGTGTATGTATGTTTACTACGACATGTTCGAGCTAAGACAAGAAGCTAACCCCAGCGAAACAGGAAAGAACCGCAAGAGAAAACATACCCAAAACCGTGTCTCCCCCAGAACCACATAAAAAACACAAAAAACAGAATCAACAAAGCACCTCAAACCATCGGGGGCCCCGTACCTCACCCGAGTGAGGCCTCCCTACCCCCAACAAGAAAACTCCCAGCTAAACCTTGTCGGTCCTCACCAGCAGATCCTTCTTGGCGGCCAAGACGTGAAGAGCATGAAAATAAGCGACAACGGAAGACCAAGAAATTATCATTCCCCGCACAAAGGTCACCGCGAGGGCATCCATCTGGCTTCGGCGACGCTGAACCACTCGCGAGAACAACCGCGGACCCTAGCCTGATGCACCGAGACCCCTGCCCTCGCCAGACGCCACGCTATCCCTCGCGGGAACCCCCGCCGCCGCTCTCCATGGAGCAAAGCGCCAGCCGCTTCTCGCGGCCGCGGCCGCTCGCCACGATGGCAGCAGCCCTTGCTTCAGGTGCCCGGTTGCGGTGTCGTGTTGTTGCTGATGGCGCTGCCTCTTCTGGTTCGACGATGAAAGGCGGTCGATTGGGTTGCCAACGCTAATTCCGCCGCCTCCGCCGCCTCCGCCGCCTCCGCCGCCGACGCCGCCGACGCCGGTCATCAGTGGCGCCGACGAAGGAGGTAGCAAACTTTCGGAAGCGGGGTCCTTCGTCGAGCGGGAGTGGTGGCGGTGGTTGCCGCCGCCGGCGGCGTAGCTGCTGCTGCTGCTTGTACCGTTTCCGATGGAGGCGGTGCTGCCGTCGCCGCCGACGCCCCTGCCGCTACCGCCGTCTTCGCCCTTGTTGATCTTGCCGGCGTTGACAGCGAGCTGGGGAAGGATCTCGTGAGACCGAGACTTTCTCCCCGACTCGGTGGCTTTACGGCGCTCCTTGATCATCACGTTCGCGGCCAGACCCCCAAGGACCAACGCACCTCCCAGCACGAAGCGGTAGCTGAACGGCTGATGTGTTGATGATGTGGCGTGGAATGTGGAATGTATGTCGAAGGGGGGGGGGGGTACGCGGGCGAGTGCGGTCGGGTGAGCGTGTCTCAAAAGCGTGTCTTATGCTCAACAACAACAACAACAACAAAAGAGGACAGACTGAACGTGTAGGCTGGCTCAAAGACTGAGGCAAACACCTTCGGGAACAGGACGAAGGACAGGGCGATGGTCATGGACTTTCTCGTGTTCCCCACCAGCACCGTCGTCACGCTTCCGTACTCCTTCAAAACCATCATGTGCGCCGAGATCGCCACGTGCGACATGACGCAGTACACCAGCTGCGCGCAGCGGCGACCAGAACAAGGCGGAGGCGGGGGGAACATCATCAGCGGAGAAGAGGAAGGAGTGGCGAGGAAGGCGGCGTGGTGGCGACAGTGCTGGTAGTGGTGGTGAAGGCGTCAGTCCCAACAAGCACGAAGTACGTACGTGCGAGCCAACGACAGCAACGAATGACGTACGCGCATACCGATGAGTGCGGCATCTATCTGAAGTACAAGACTTGGGGTATACCGTCGGCAACTAAAAAAGCACGCCTTCGGTGAACGAATACTCTTCTCACCGTCATTACTGAAAACATTGAGCGTATTTATTGGCCTCCCTTACCATGTGCAACACAGCCGAGCTGCTGGTGACGGCGTAGCTCAAAAACTCAGCCAGGTTTCCGTTGGCGGCGGTGGACAGCAACATGCCGAGCACGGTGAGGGAGTTGGTGAAGAACGTAACCTGCGCGACGCGTGGTGGAATGCCGTCGAGAGAATTTCACGAGAGGAGTTGAATGAGTGAGTCGCAACAAGGAAAGAGGAAGTGGAGTTTAAGGTAAGCACTCTACGCGATCGAAGGTCGAGCAAGGTAATTGTTGTCCCACTCGGGGGGGGGGGGAGGTGAACAAAGAACGCAGGCCTGCCGTGTTTCGAGAACAGCTGACAAGGACAGGAGCGACATCCCAGATGAATACAAGGCAGGTGGGGGTAACGACAGCCCGTCTCGCGCATCAAAGGTTCAGCCCCCCCCCCTGTGTAGACGAGCGAGACGCATCTGAGCATGCACTTGTATTCCGACGAGGCTACCGAGAAATGGCGACTGCCGCGGTTGATAAAGCCACGAACAACCGCCGCCGCGGATGTCACTACAGCACCCATGCAATTCACAAAGCCAGAAGACCACTCAGTCCCATCCAACAACAGCCGAAAGCGGCACCAACGTCGTTCTTACCTCCACTCGAGACGCGCCCATGCTAAACACGTGCTCCTGGTACACCCCGCCCACATTGAGACATTGAACACGATGTGGTAAATATAGCAGTTCAGGTCGAGGGCGGGAAACACATGCAGAGTAAGGCAGGGACAGACGCAGAGCCGAGGGCACGAGACGGTGACGTAAGAGACGAATCTTCACAATCCATCATGAGCCCGGGCGCATTGGTCGGAAGCAGGCCCATACGCACGTATGCGGATGCTACTCCCCGCCGAACGCGTCTACACCTACGTAGTCTTCGGACTAGGAGTCTCGGAAGCACGAACAGAGACGTTACAAAAGATGACGCTTTGACAGGGAACGATGAGAGACGGCTGGCCTCGTCCGCATCAAAAAGGCGCACACAAACATCGCCCTGATGCAGACCAAGCGTAAAACAACGCCTAAAACCAGCAAGAATTCTACCAAACCCTTCGAGAGGAATAAAAGCGCAAGCACGAAAACGCCAAAACTGCCGTTGGGGGGGGGGGGGGGCATCGCGGGTTTCGTTGTACCGGGAGAGAGAAAGAGAGACATAAAACTCTTGGCCTTTATCACCTGCATGTTGGGAAGGAAAGCGTCCGCACACACCGACAGCATCACCATCGCGATCCCCCTAGGGTCGAAGTCTGGCTCGAGCTTAGCGTCGGCCTTCCCGAAGATGACGAGGCCGGCACACACGGAAAACGCCGCCAGGAACTCCCACCTGGACACGATTTTCTTGCGCCACAGCACGGCGATGGCCATGGTCGGGATGAGCTTGCAGGAGCGAAAGATTACCTGTGAGCCGTCGGTGTTAGAGGAGGAGGTGGTGGTGGAGGAGGAGGAGGCGGCCGGGTGCAAGAGGAAGGGTGTTTGCCTTGAGCACAGCTAGCTGAACGTTCTGATCCGAAAGCACCCGACCCAAGCGATATCCCCGTAACACCGACACCCGTAGGTGACGTAATACATTACCCCCCCTGGACCGATTTTGAACTCTCTCTACTCCACGACGAAGAGGACGAACAAATCAAACGGTACGTGCTCGGAAAGCCCTCGACGAGACGGTTTTCAATGCCACTACTTTCGGCTCCATCGCCACTCCCTTCTGCGGTGGATTTGTTAACCTAGCTTTGAAAATCGCTCTGGGGGGGGGATGGTATCTTATGCCACGTGCGGTAGATACTTTTGGGTGCAAACGACCCCCAGGTGGTCGGGGCGGCCACGCCCGAGAGCGAAGCTTTTCCCAACCAAGCCATCTTGTTGAGCCTAGCATTCTGCCCACAGGGGATGTTGCCCTCAGTTGAGATATCACCGTACGTTGCGTGGAGAAAAGTAGAACCACAGGTGGGTCACACAACACCATCAACCAACCAATTACGCGTTCACCCTGGACTCTCGTCTGTGGATAGAGATGAAAATTGCATGGATTGGGACAGAAAATTATGAAAAAAACGCAAAGAGAAAAAAAAAAAAAAGCCGTCGGAAAAAACGAACCGTCCTCACCTTCGTGGGGTACTTGATGTAGTTGAGGGCCATGTTCGAGAGCGAGCTCGACATGCCCAGCAGCCCAGCTAGAACCACGTAGCTGCGGAAGGGCGCTACCCTCTTCCCCCCCTCGCCCCCGTGAACGCGCTCGGCCATCGACCCGACCAACACGCCGATAGCCTCTAGGAGGCCCAGGGACCAGCCGAAGTTGAAACCTTCCATCTGGAAGAGCGACTCCTGTTACATGCGACGAGCACACGTTTTATCCCACACGTCAACAGTCTAGTTCGGGCGCAAGGTTGGAAAAAATCGTTTTCCCTCTATATAGACTATTCGTAATAGCCCGTCCCTTTTTCGGAACCTTTTGCCTCTCTCTGTCCTGTCTTTCTGTCGGTCTGCACGGCCCCGTCTCTCCACGTACTCCGATATTGCCAACGCGCAGGGGCGGCGGGGAGGGGGGGCGGGGGGAACGAGCCGCTTAACTTGAATGAAAAGGTGGTAAAAAAACTGCATGCTGCTGAAAACACGCCCGGGATGTCAACAACGATTCACGAGAACAAGAAAGGAGTCGCCCCCCCCTGCCACGAAAATTAACGCACGGAACCCTTGGCACTGGCCTGGAGGATGTTGTGGAGACCGAACGACATCATGACACAGGTAACGAGGATGGCGAACTTGAGGGAAGGGGACAGCGAGTCCAGCCATGCCGCCAGGGGTCCCTTGGCGTTGAAAGACGCCACCGCCGGCCTCGCGCCTGTTCTACCGCCGCCGGTGCCGTTGACAAGCGCAACGCCGCCGCCGCCGCTCTCTCGCCGAGGCGGGTCTGGGAAAACACAAGAAGAAAAACGGGGCAAAAAACAAGAGAGGGAAACAGCTGCTGTGAGCAGCTTCGATAAGCGTCTTTGGCCTTCTTCGCCGTCTCGTCGAGATGCAATATAACGTCAGCAACTAGAATGGCTTACATATGACGCCGACACCGCAACAAAAGCGACAGGCGCAACAGAGAATCAAGCAAACGGATTGGCGCCGAGGACCTTCGGTGCCCTTGGAGAACGGGGTGGTGGTTACTAACAGTTTTCCAATGACGCGCGATGCAAAGTTCTGCCACCACTGCTGTGTACAATGAGCAGTGCCAGGGAAGCGCAGTGCGCCCTCTTGGCTCCCGCTTGGCTCCCGAAGCCCTGTGACACCCTGTCCTCAGAAGAACATTTTCCCCATCTAAGTCATGACTCTAACAATATCAATCTCTCGAAGCTGTGGAACCCTTCGTTTCGATTCTCTAGGCCCGCCCACCTTCGCGATGGTCGCTTCTAAGCTTCGCCCCGACCCCGCCAGGGGCACCCCCGCCCGCGCTGCTCTTCGGTAACACCCCCCCCCCCTTCCCCCCACCCCCCCCCTCTCCGCCGCCCCCCAACAGCCCCTGACGTGCTCCCCCCTCCTCCCCCTCCGCCCTCAAGTTTCCGTGCATGCCTCCAAGCTCCATGTCTGCGTCCGCACGCACACGCGGGGAGGGGTGCCGAGATTTTTCGTACGTGTCATGTATGTATGAGCTCAAATCTGAATGAGCTTCATCAGGATTTCTTGATCCCTTTGATAGATACCTGCCAGGTGTTGTGTGTGGTGCCCTTGCTCTCTTTCGCACCACCACCAGTCAAAAAACAAATAACTACCCACGCGGGTTAAACTACAACACT